AGAAGAGAAGAGAAGAGAAGAGAAGAGAAGAGAAGAGAAGAGAAGAGAAGAGAAGAGAAGAGAAGAGAAGAGAATTTGAATACAAACTGAATGCCACCAAGTGTGGCTTTAAGTATTATGCTATGGATTGTGGAGCATGCCACTAACTGTGGCACATTCACCAACTGACTCTCTGGATGTTATGGGTCTACAAGGCTTAGAACCCATAGCCAGCATGACCAAAGATTGAAGTATCCAGTAGATTTACTTCTTCTCCATAACTCAATGACACATAAAATAAAGCCAGGCGTCTCCCAAATTTGAGTCTACAGATGTTGTCAGAGTACAAGCCAATGATATAATGATGGATGCAAATCCCATTTTGGTTGAGGGCAATAAGTATTATAATCTTACAACAAGGCTGCCAAGGTTGGTTAGAAAAGATCAAGCTAGGTGGACCAAGAATATGGCTTGTTGGAAGGGCATCTTCTGCCTTTACTCACTCACATCATCTGCTTGTTGTTCCAGCTTCATTTTGGCTTTGCTGAGACTGTTGACTTTGTCTTCTTCAACTTGGAAGTCATCTAATGCTTGCTGGTGGGCCTCCTGCAGTGATTTCTTCTCCTTAGTAAGTTTTGCAATGATCTCATCCAGACCGGCCATTTCTTCAGTGAGGTTTTTCACCTGAGGGGAGAACAAATTAACAAATCCTAAGATAGGAGAAATTGTGGGAAGGAACGACTGTGGAGATAACTATGTGTGTGTGTCCACAAGAGGAAGATTTTAGCTTGAGATCAGTCCAACGCATAATACCAAAACTCAACGGATTAGAGCATGACCAATGTTGTCTTCTCAAAAAAGTGAAGATACACTCAAGAAATACCCACCAAACTTTGGGGTTGTTAGTCCAATCTAGTCTTACTTAATTATTCTAGTTAAGCCATGTAATGTTCTTATTGTCTACCAGCTTTGTGAACAATCACCCCAACACAATTAGTTATGTGACTACTCAATACAAACTGAGTTGAATGAGATTCCAAATACATATTCCAGTTCCACTTTAATACAGGGATACCAAATTTCCTTAAACACATCCACATCTACTATTACTTATAATAATTTCAACCAAAGTAATCAAGTTGGAAAATGCTTTGTGGGCAACGTTTAACCTCAGTTCAATTCACTTAATTCATCTCTCCAAGTCTTAGCTTAGTTTAAGACAACCTGTCTCACCAATACCAGCTCCCTTCATGTCCAGTCTTAATGTTTCAATGTACCTTGTTCTCTGTCGCGTGTTTCTCCTTCTCCACCTTAGCCAAGGTTAGTTCCAAATCATCTATATCCTTCTTTAGTTCTGAACATTCATCTTCCAGCTTCCGCTTCTTAGCAGTGAGTTCAGCATTCATTTCTTCTTCATCTTCTATCCGTTCGGTCATCTCTTTCACCTTGGCCTCCAGCTGGATCTTGTTCTTGATCAGCTGGTCGCAGCGTTCCTCAGCATCGTTCAGATTATCTTGCTCCTGTGGGGCAAGATCAGGAGAGAAGAAAAAAAGAACTTCAGGACAGGGAGCAATGGTGTAAATCTTTGGGGAAAATAGGAGAATAAGGTGGCCTAAATATACTCACAGCTTGAACTTGCAACTGGAGGTCATTCTTCTCCTGTAGCAATGAGACCATCTTCTCCTCCAGCTCTTTTCTCCGTGCTTCTGACTTCTCCAGAGCTTCCTTCAGCCTCCCAAATTCCTCTTTCATTGTCTGCCAAGGATGTAAAACAGTCAAGTCTACAGATTTAGCAGATCAGCCATCACTGCTTCCAAGAAATGACAATGTTATTCCATCGGGCAGATTCGCTTTGCAAATTTGTCCTGTGTATTTTCTGTTTTGGGTTGCAAGTCCTTCAGAAGAAATTCCCCCAAAGATATTACTGAGTGCTATTCTTGGTCTTCCCCATTAATGTGTACCTTGGTTAGGGAAAGGAGGAATTGTTTGGTCATTTTTAAATGAGCCAACCTAATTAAAAGATCTGGGATTAATTGGCAGATTGGAATGCAATTATCCTTTTCACTGTGCACTTCTCTGAATTTTGCAATGTGGTTCTTTGCAAGTTGTGGTGGGAGAAAAAGAGAGGTGGGAGTGCTGTTTCCATCATCTGGAACTCCTAAGTCAGTGTTGTCTGGCTGGGGAATTCTGGGAGTTGAAGTCCACTCATCTTAAAGTGGCCAAGTTTGGACAGCACTGTCCTAAGTGAAAGGCAGAGCATATCTCTAACAAATGTATATAAATGCAAATATAAAAGCCTGGAAGCACCTGGAAATAGCCAGTGATGACCATTGTGATGGGCCCACCCAGAATAAGGACAAAACTTTTTAAAAACCTCTGAGGTCTCTGGATTGGTTCAGATCTCTCCCTTCAACCCACCCGCTCTCTGAGGCCATCACCTGCATTTCCTTCTCTGTTTCTGCGCTCTTCAGCAAAGGTTTGATCTTGAAGAAGAGCTTCATCCAGGGCCAATTCTTCACTCCCATAAAAGCACGGATGTTCCACTGAATAATGAGCAAGGCGTCCCTGGTGAAAGGGGCCAAGGAGGGACATGGGGTAACCTTTCAGAAAACCTTTTTCTCCCTATTCCACCCCTCATCTCGTGTCCATCAGCTGGCAGCACGTTGCTCCCCAAATCCTGTGTTTATTAAACCTTGATTTACACACGTGCCAGAATTCAGTCTTTGAAAATACTCGGAATTCACAGCAGCTCAACTATCATTCCAATTCAAAGCAGAGCGTACAAGAACAAGGCTATTTTACAGGTAGTGCTCATTTAGCGACCGTTTGCAGTTACGATGGTGATGAAAAAGTACCTTTACGACCAATCCTCACATTTATGACCTTCATAGGTCTGGAAAGCAAAGGAAAGCTGAAGGAAGATCAAAAGCGCAGTCACAGTTTCACTTACCAACCACTTCGCTTAACATCTGAGTTGCCAGTCCCAGTTCCGGTTGCTAAATGAGGACTACCTGTATTGTTCTTTACTTTCTACATCTAAGCTGCCCAGAGTTGTGCAGTTGTGCAGTCAGGCAGCCTCTAAAACTGAAACAGTTCAAGAAATAAAAAATACAAGAAATCTTCCCCAAGGCAAAAAACTAAACGCATCAGGAACTTGGTGGAATAAAAATGAACTTTGCACATTGACCATGGCTTATGAGCTGCCAGGGCTGGAGTCACACATGTTAAGCTTAAAGCCAACTAAACCGCACCATGGTGGACTGTGGGGTGGATGAGACCAGTGCACAGCTATGAGCTTTGCATGGAGAAAAAGAGGACAAGTTCTGGATCAGACTGAGAATTAGGCTAAAACTAAGACTAAGATTAGGGTAAGACTATTGAAGGAAAGAGAAGAAGAGGACAACCAGCCACCAGGTGGAGGGACTCAGTTCCAGTGGGGATGAGGGCACCATTGGAAGACCTGAAGGACCAGGTTGGGGACAGTTCATCCTAAAGAAGATCTATCTTTGGGTTGCTAAGAGTTGACACCGACTTGATGGCCCGTAATCCATCAATCAAATGCCTAACCCAAATTAAGACTAGCCCAACACAAGGCTAACCCAGATGAAGCCTCATCCAGCACAAGAGCATTGAGGTAGCAAAAGCTTCTTCCCCAAACACACTCATATTTTGCTTCCTAGAAGGTGGGGTTCAGTTGCCAGTTTATCTAACATTTCTATTTGCATCTCTGCACAGAAGCAAGTCCTCCTGACTGCAACAGGGACTTCAGTGCAATGGATAAGAAGTGGGAGAGACCCAGTTTCAAATCAGCAGCGAAGCCCCTTGCGTGATTTTAGGTGTGTCATGATTTCTCACCCTACCCTGCAATGATACAAATGAAGTCAAATAATTAGATGAAAGGAGGCTAAAAACTTGTGATGTCTTTGGAAAATAATTCTAGTTACCATTTAAGAAGCAGATCATAAGTAGAATCAAAGGAATGGATTTATTATGCCCAGAATTTAAGAGAAAAAGACCAACAGTGTTCAATTTCAGCCAACTCACCTTTCTCTTTCTTTCTCTCACATTCACATTTATTTTTACTATTTTATTTATTTTACAGTATTTATAGCCTGACACCCCCCCGCCC